CCTTTGCAGCAACTAGAACGGCCGCATCCTTTGCAGCAACTAGAACGGCCGCATCCTTTGCAGCAACTGGAACGGCCGCAGCCTTTGCAGCAACTAGAACGGCCGCAGCCTTTGCAGCAACTAGAACGGCCACAGCCTTTGCAGCAACTAGAACGGCCGCAGCCTTTGCAGCAACTAGAACGGCCGCATCCTTTGCAGCAACAAGTACACACGCAGACTTTGCAGCAACAAGTACACCCGCAGCCTTTGCAGCAACTAGAACGGCCGCAGCCTTTGCAGCAACTAGAACGGCCGCATCCTTTGCAGCAACAAGAACGGCCGCAGCCTTTGCAGCAACAAGTACACCCGCAGCCTCTGCAGCAACAAGTACACCCACAGTCTTTGCAGCAACAAGAACGGCCGCAGCCTCTGCAGCAACAAGAACGGCCGCAGCCTCTGCAGCAACAAGAACGGCTGCAGCTTTCAGAACTGCAAGAAGTCCCAGCCTCCACACTGACTCCACCTTCTTGTCCGAATACCACCAGTGGTCAGTCCCAGCCATTAGGTCCTGAAAAAGAGAGTGGAGCAAATGCAAGTCTTGCGTCTAAGAGCTTAAACAGAGTCGTAGAGTCTGGATGGAAGGAGGGGACACCGTCAGTGAATGAGCAACATCTTTCTCAAACTTCAGGTGGAGCCGAAATCCAACATGACAATAGAGGGGCATCACCAACCGGACCTGCAGCGCCAACGTCAGCTGAAAGGAGCCCAGCATTAGCTACAAACTCAGAGGAAGCATTTGATGATGCATTTTTAGATGCAAATTATGAAGACATCTTGAATGAAATTGATGACAGTACCTTTGCACTCTCCAATATGAGTCCTGAACAGTCATTAAATATGAGCTTTGATGATTTAAATGAAACGTCAACCAGCATTACAGAACAGACACAGTTGGTGAAAGATCATGTTGGAAGCTCAGTGTCGATAGGCAGCACTGACCTAACACAAAACAGTAATACTGAGTTCACAACACCAGCTTCAAGCAGCGGGGCCGCACCAACAAGGATGTGTACAGGTTACAATAACAGCTCAGCACCGGGAAGAAACTGTGAACTAGAAGCAAGTAAGATTCAAGATGAAAGTCAAATTTTAACTACAAGTGTTGAGCCAAGTCAACCTGAGGTGAATCAAGGTTGGAGGCCAGAGTCTTCCATCCTAACTGTGCTAACACCAGTTGATGAATATCAAAATGAGACACGAGTCCCAACTGAGATGGCAGAAGATCAAGGCAGTCGAGCCTTTAGTACAAGCAACCAAGATAAGAGCACATTAACCAAATCTGCTGAGCTGACACCAAGCGAGAAAATTCGAGAAGGAGTAGCAGCAATGGAAAATATTGATCAAACATCACAGAATGAAAACCGTGATATGAGTGCACCGTCAGCCAAAAGTACAGAGCAATCATCAAGCCAGGGTGGTATCAAAGAGGCTGTGACATCGACTGATAGAACAGAACACACCTCAAAGAAAAATCATAAACAAGAGAGGACGCCTTTGCGTGGAAGTACACATCCGCCATCAAAAACAAAGTCAAAAAATGGGAGAACACCATCTTCAACAAGATCGCTCAAGAAACCCAGACAAGAAAGCGCAAGATCAACTAGAGATAAAACTCTCAGCGAGAAGACTGCCGCCAATCAACGCACAGATTATAACATAAAACCTCAAGAGGAGGAAGAAACTTCCAACCTAATTTCAAATTCTGCACAAAATGATGAACATGCCGGCAACAAAGCGTCTTCTACTGGAGATATTGAGGTGACACAGAGTGACCACAGTCAGGAAACAGAAATAATGCCAAGTAAAACATCAAGTGATAGGAAAAAGGCAGCCCCACATTCTAAATCCAAAGATAAATCAAGAAATCAAAACAAGGAAGCAGCTAATGTTGGAAAATCTCACAATGAAGATGCACAAAGCATGGAAGCAACATCGACCAAGAGGCTAAGAGATGGTCAGGGTTCTGAGTCGCCACAAAAAAGGATGCATAGAGGCGAAGGTTCCACATCAACTAGAAGCAAAGAAGTCAAAAAGTATGACACACGCAGCAAAGAAAGCACAACATCAAATCAAGATCCCGACCCACCTCTGTCCAATACCGACGACAGCGAATCAAGCGAAGCAGAAGAGAAGGTGGAAAACCCCTACAAGTGCGATAGATGTGGCAAAGTAATGTCCAACTTCAAGAACTACAAATTCCACATGAAGACTCACACAGTCGCAAAGACTTTCAAGTGCGACACTTGTGGGAAAATGTTTAGAGAGAGCTGGGACCTGAACAAGCATTTGGTCATCCACTCCGCTGAGAAGCCTTACAAATGTGACGTCTGCGGAAACGGTTTCAACCGCCGCTACAACCTGGACCTGCACCTTCGGGTCCACACGGGGGAAAAGCCGTACATTTGCAACACGTGCGGAAAGACATTCAGCTCGTGTGTCAATATGAAGAAGCACATGAGGATTCACACGGGCGAGAAGCCCTACACGTGCAAAGAGTGTGGCAAAGAGTTTGCCGACTCTTCCGCCTTCAAAAACCACCTGCGGGTGCACACGGGGGAGAAGCCCTTCAAGTGTTCCTACTGCAAGAAGAAGTTCGCCACCAGGACAACTTTGAAGAGACATATCAGGACGCACACGGGCGAGAAGCCGTACGAGTGCACGGTTTGCGGTCGAAACTTCGGCCACAGAACCGACCTGAAGGGCCACATGAGGATGCACACAGGCGAGAAGCCTTATAAATGTACTACTTGTGGAGAGGACTTCTCCACCTGGTCAAAACTGAACAAACACAAGCGGATCCACTCAGGTGAAGCACAAGACTCCACTGAATAACATGTTAAATGTATTGAAGGTATCTAAATAGCAAGTGAGGAAATTTGAGAAGTCACTAGATGTCAAGAGGCTATAGCTTAGTTTTGAATTACATTTTTTTTTAACATTTCAGGTATAACATAAATTTTCTGCACACTGGAAAAAAACTGTCTAAACCTTGTTTCCATCTTCCTCCTTTCTTTCCTTTCCCTATTTTTTCTTTTTTTGTTCCTCTGTTTGTTTTTCATTTCCTTCTTGCCTTCCTTCCTTAATTCTTTTATTCTATGTCTGTCATTCATTCTATCCTTAATTTATTTGCTTCCTTTATTGTTTGAACTTTCCTTTCATGTGTCTCTCCTTCCTTTCATGAATGTTTACTTTCTTTTGTGTGCCTCTTATTTTTCTCCCTTCCATTCCTCCTATCTTCCTCTCTTGTTATACTCCTTATTTTCTTCCTTTCTTACTATTTCCTATTTTTCCAGGCTCCATATTTAAACATTTAAAGCCTGCTGCCTGCCTGTAGAAAAATCTGCTGTTTGTTCATAATGAACTTTTAAAATGTTAAAATTTGAAATTAACATAAGATTTTGAGAATTCTGAGAATTTAAGTTTAGACATTTTTACATGGAAAATGTTCAGAAATCCTGTAAAAAATTGCAAACATCATCAGCTATGGTTTTTCTGAAAAAATGTCACAGAATTCTTTGCTGCTGAAAATGACAACAAAATGGAAGAAAAAAGATTGTAATGGGTTGCTAATATCTCAGGTGCTGGTGTAATAATGGTTGTATTTTTTTTAAAGTTGTTTCCTCTAACTTTTTGCCAGGTTGCTAAGGACTTAAGAACTATTCTGCCGAGACATGAACCATTATAACATGCTGACAGCAAAATAAAGTATGATTAATGATTAAAGATGCTGAGGTAATAGGTACTTCTTAAGACATAAATTCAAATTCAAATATACTTTGTTGATCCCAACAGGAAATTAAATGTTGTTGTAGCTCATTAGTTCAGATTGACTTGATAGTATAAGGCCCTATACGCAAAAGGTTCAAATAAAAATAAAATGCACATCATCATTTTTCATTTAAGCAACGTTTATTCCTTTTGCTGCGTAAATACTTTAACATATTGAGGTACATTTTAAATCTTAATTTCCGACTGCTTGCTCCAGAGAACATTATCCTTTTTTTGCTGTTCTGCTCTTTTTATGGTAGAGCAACTAGAATTTAGTTAGTCAGATTATCTACTCTGACTAGCATGACGTCTGCTGCTTGACTGATTATCACCTTACTAATAGCGCAAGTTTCCACACCATGAATATGTTTCTCATGACTTGATATATTTCCAAACAGCCATATTTGTCTTTCATGTAGTAGTGACGCGTTCATAGAGTTGCAGAGTTGCATTGTTCCATGCTCCACACAGCCTCTGACACGCTCTCTGATATGACAGAACATGTTAATGATGTTATTTTTTGAGGTTTTTTTTATATCTTAATTCTTTAAACTTTGGTATACTTTGTTTGAAGCGACCAGGCCGATGCCTTAGGCTGAATGTGCCTGGCTTTCCTCAGCACTCCTGGTGAGATCATGACATCAGTGATTTTTCTTTTTGTTTTATTTAAAAAAAAAAAAAACATTCATAACGGTTCAGGGTTTCATTCTGTCCCTGCTGACGTTGGGCACTTTGCTGTTAAAATCCAACCAGGAATGTGAGGATGTGTTTGTTTTGTCATCCCAAAGGATTTTAATTTCGTGTGCTGCCTTTACTTGATTGTTGTTTTTCTTTGCTGGTTTTTATGCATGCTGTTTTATTGTTTAATAGCAGTTAAGATACAGCTTCATCACTGGCTGGTGACATGTTGCCATCTCAAAACCCATTCAGTTTCCATCATGTGACCATATTTAGCAATGAAGTTGTTTTGTTTAATTTTCGTATGTGTGACTTACCAAAGATCTCAGCTCTCTCTTTGTCATTTATTGTTGTGTGGAAAAGAATGTTTGAATAAACAACTGGAAACTTAGACACCTAATACAAGAGAAATAGTTTTGAAAATTGTAGCAGTCAGTTTTATTTTGTGTGCTTTTGAATTCCTGTGTGAAATGTGAGAATACACAGAAATTATTGTCTTAGAAAGCTGTCTATTTTCAGATGTTGCTTTATTCAAGTTAGAATATTAAAATATTTTTTGATAATCTATCTTGTAGTTATTTTTTTTTGTAAACAAACAGTTCTGTAATCCTGCCTGGTATGCTCCAGTATGACTTTGTGTGAAAGCAACCTTAGTTCTCATGATATTATAAATTAATACCACTACTTATCCAGCAACATGATCAAACTTTAACGACCTGCTCTTTGTGGTTAGCTCTTTCTGTAGCAGCATTATTCATTTCTTTATATAGCCAAAATAGATTTAAAAAAAAAATTATGAGGTGCATAATGCTAAGATCTGAGTTAACACAAGAAGTGTTAACATCTTGGTACAATCGGTTACATATCCTTTTATGAGTATTTTGTACCGAGTCTGAAACAACCTTCCTCATGTGATCATTTTTTTCACACCTCTGGTAGAATGGAAAAAAAAGAAATTAGTCAGTGTTCTTTTTTTAATGTGTTGCTGAAGTTTGAGGAAGTTGATGAGAGAAAAGCTAGCATATCAGTACAGGAAGTTGAGCGCAAACTGGGTGACTGTCATCACAGATAACATCAGATGTGGTTCAAGACCCTAACTTAAAAAAACATATATATATAAAATGTCAACTTACCCTTACCTTATCAAGATTATCCTTCTAACATAATTTTTTGCTTGCATTATAATGTAAGCATTCATTGAAATCCAATTGAATGAGTTCTGACATAATAAGTAAAATTAAATTAATTAAATATTTGATAAAATGATAAAAGTACAACAAAGCACACTTTTGGAAACAGATCTGTTCATTAAATGTGCTGTTCTCTGCAACACGTTTTTTTTAAGCAGGAACCATCTGTAGCACAGGATGCATCAGTCATGGACCCCTTCTGCCCTCGTGTGGTTCAATATTAATTTGCACCCTTTCTTTTTTGTACATTTTTTTAAAAAGTAAATTTGTTAGCAAGAGCAAACTTGATTTTGACAGCAATCTGAGAATCTGATTAAACCAATAGAGGCAAGTTGAAACCTCTAAAAAAGATAACACGAGTTGCTGGGGTGTTCTATTAAATTAAAAAAAAATACTCTATTAATAAAAAAGTAAAATTAAATGTTGCTATGATGTATTTCACCTAAGCTTCTGTAAACATTTGATAGCACTGGGCAGGAAGGATCTCCTGTAGCAGTCAGTATTACAACATATTTGATGAAGCCTCTGATTGAAACTGCTCTTGTATGGCACTCTCAAAAAGAGAATACTCAGGATTGTCAGTGATGATCTAAATTTTATAAAGAATCCTTTGCACAATCATCACCAGATGCTCCAGAACAGAATCAACCTTCTTTCTCAACTTGTTGAATCTTCCTAAGTGACTTCCTGTGATGCAGCCTTAAGATCTTGCGACAAACACTGAAGGATTGAAGCTAAGTACGTCCTCATATCTCAGTCCATGTCTATGTTCCAGCCCCTTCATCACTATTGCGTCTCCAGTCCAGTCTGTTTTCCAGGTACACACTCTCCTTGTTTTCTCTAATGGTGAAAATAGTGCTGGACAAATTGCTGCTTCTCTTCAAATCAATCTCATCTGATTTGTTATTGTGGCACTATGAAAGAGAACAATGCATGAAAATAGTTGCTCCCCCATTAAATTTTTTTTATGCTAAAGGTTACTTGCAGCGAGAAACTAGCGTTAGAATCTGTTATATCTAACAACGTATGAATTTCGCCATCAGAGGGCGCTCAGCGCCATATGCAACGGCGGTTGACCCTCTGGCGGGCTGAGAAAACGGCTTACAGCAGATATTAGGAGCAGCTAACATAACCGCTGTACTTTCTGTTCACAGGTAAGCTGAGTCATAAATAATATTTATAGATTATAACGCTAGTAGCCTCTGATAAGTACCGTCTGGCAGAAAAAAGGTGCTTCAACAGAATTGAACTGCCGAGCCGAATGTGAAGCCGGAGTTAGCACCAGGCTAAAGTAATTATGCTAATGACTCGCGCTGGGCTGTAATAGGGCCGCAAAATATTTTCTAAATGTATGTATTTTATTTGAGTTCAGTTAATGAACGTTATGTTAGGGTAGATGTACAGTGACGTCAGTAGTGGGCGTGTCTGTTTACTGTTGTGCCGCTCTTTGATTATTGTGTTTAGCGGTTGACCTCTGGCAGGCTGAAGAAGTCCGCCATTGCTGAGAAAACGGCTTACAGCAGATATTAGGAGCAGCTACTATAATCGCTGTGCTTTCTGTTCGTTTTCCTTGTCCTTATCTGATAGAACTGACAACTGCAGAGCCATCCAAGTATTTCAGATGACAGATCTTGTTCTTGATGTTTGATGTGAATGGTGAGAGTGCAGTTCACTGTGATGCAACGTGGTATAAAATATATTTTTTTGATACTTGTGGTTAAACTTTTCCAGTAAGTGCATGTGTGAGTGACACATGTTTTGGCGCTGGAAAAAAGATGAATGGATGTTGCAAAGCACTATATTTGTGTTATGGCTGTTGAGCACACTTCCAAGTCAGTGTAGAGAGACTGTGATTGGATCTTTGTCACAAAGTATTTCACTGTAGTATCTAGGGTACTGTGTATACAAAGTGATACAAACTGATAAGGGGGGTGAGAGGGTGTATGGAAGAAGTAGCTCAGACTGCTCAGCTGTCTGTGTGTGAGACCACCCACCTTCCTCTCTCCTTATATTTATCAGGCTGTGCTGCAGGGCGTCCAGAGCAGCAGTGGGTTCTTTGTCAGATTGGACTACAAGCAGCTCGCAGGTGGGTTCATGAATCACCTACATTGTGTTTGTGCAGCTGGCTGCAGACTTTCACTCCGAGTACAACCATCATATCAATTTCCAGCAGGCAAATATTTGGAATCACCTTGAATGCCCATAACCCTGTAGATTAGAGATGAGGCTGATGGAGAAGATGTGTGAGTGGTTTAGAGACGATCGAAGATCTTGTGTGAGAATAAGAAGAAACCCAGCGCCTTGGAAAATTCTTTGTACCTCTTGGACTTGTTCAGATTTTTCCAATTGAAAACCAAAAGGGGTACAAGGCAAATAATGGTGCTGTGATTTAGAAGACAAATCAAACATGTTTATTATTTTTTTAATAATACAAAGAGAGAACTGTAACAAGCATTTGTATTCAGTCACCCTAAATCAACATTTTGCTGAGCCACTTTTCTCTGCAGTCTTAGCTGACCTTGTGCATATGTGTCCAGCATGTGTTAACAGCTATTATCTAGCTAGGCTCAAATTACATTAATTTTCCCATTTTCTCAGAACAAATATCCCGTCTCTTCTGAAGAAAAGCCGCCCCACAGCATTATGCTGCCACCACCGGATTTCACAGAGAGGTTGACTTTTTTCAGGAATATAAGGGGTCATGTTAACCAAATATTTTCCATATTTGACTTCAGAAAAATCTGAAGATCATTTGTCATCTTGACAGATTACAAACAACTGACCACTTGGTGCAGACGTGCAGACATTTTCAAAATGCACATAGTACAGTGTGGAGGTAACTAAATCAATCAAAAACCCATACATTTCCATCAGAGCACCATCTCTGACCTTCTTGCCGTACTCAAACCGTCTCGCTATTCGGAAGCTGCCAGCATGTCGAAGAGTTGTGGAAGCTTTTGAGCGCGTCTGTGACCACTACAGGTCACAGACTGGTGCAGCTGAACCACTGGTGCAGAAGAAGCGTATCCTGCGGGATTTCCTCCCACTGAAGTGAGTGTTTGCAGGATCAGGAAACCTCTCATTCAGAGAATTTTGTCTAAACTTTGGCTGAAGTGGTGCTTGTAATTCCAGTCTCCAATGTGGCAGCAGAGCACTGATTCAGCCTCCAGATCAGTAACAAAATCCCCAGACATCAGTCACCTGTATGAGCTAAAAGTCCAGAATTTGTTGAAAATAGCTTCTGCAGCAAGCTAACATTTGATTATGCATAAGTAAATGCACAATTGATGTCCATGTGGACCAGGAAGACGTTGTGAGCAGGTGAATCGCTTATAATTGAAGTGTAGTCATTTAATATCATTGCTTATATGTAGTTACATGAGGCCACAGTCAGTGGTTTTTGTCACTGCTGAGAAAATATGCGTTCATCTGCTTGCTGTGAGAATGCAGATTCTCTGTTCAGCTTGTTCAGGCTGAATATTAACTGAGCTGAATGACAATTAAATGCAGTTGAATTACAGGTAAAAGTAGATAGTGGCTGGATATGTTTTGACCCCCTCACTCAACAAAGAAGTCTAGCACAGCCTAAGCCTCTAACTGGATGATCCTTCTGCTTCATGAAGCAACTATTTCCAGTTTATGATGAATCTTGCAAACAACGGCAAACTCTTCTCATTTGTGACAAGATTTTACCGTTAAAAATGAAACCCTAAAGCAGGAATCCTTTGTAACATGCAAAGAAAACAACAGATCTATGTTCAGGATAAGGCAATAGATACTGAGGAGTTCTGGAACTCTTTCATTTCTCACATCCTTCTTTGTTGTTTCTATATGAATGTTACATATGTAAGCCGCTGCCCACACGGTCTTTCTACAACATGATTCTCAGTAAAGATCTTTTTTTTTTCTTTAACACCATGGAAATTAGATTATATTGTGGTGAGCATTGCAAGCTGAGCTGCTCCCTCATTCTGATGCCAGCAGCAGCTTTACCCCCCCCCCCTTTTTTAACAATACACCACACACATCCTGTCCCTAAAAAACACACACACTTATTGTGGTATTGGAAGTTAATATAAAGGGAGAGCACTTTAATAGAAATTTCCCCTCATATATGTATATATATATTATACTTTCCCACAAGTTTATTCATCCAAACTGGAGAAATAAAAAGATAAAAGCAATATATTTAACCAAATTACATAAAAAGCTTAAGTGGATTTGTGATGTAACCCCAAGCTCAAAAGCTTGGTCTGTGAAACCCATCATGGTTTTCACAAGCTTTTCCCAATGATTAGCATTGGCTGGAACGTTGGCACGTTCTCCAAATCAAAACCACATTCCTTCTGGCTCGACGCGCTTGTGCTCTCTCATGGAGTGTCTCTGTTACCAACCCAGCCATTTATAAACGTTTATGCCACCACAGTGGCTTAATCAAAGGCTTTCGAAAGAAGAACAAATTAACAGAAAGGTATTGAGCTTTTCTTAGGGACCTAATTTTGAAAACCACCGTATTCATGAAGCAGTGGTGTACAGTTTTGTTTTTATAGCTGTATAAACTATGAAGTTACCTTGTAATTTCATGGCTACGAACATACCAATTTTGGTACACCAGTTTTGTTTGGGCTTTGTTTGTTTGCGTTTTTGTCAGCGAAGTTACATATTTTCTAAAACTGAGCTTTAATTTTTGCAGATGTGGGATATTTTTTTTTGTAAATGTTACAGATGTGTGGCAGGTGCATCGTGTCCGCCGACGTTGGGAAGTCATGCGCCTCAAACCTTTGGTCAGAATTTGTTGGCTGCAGCTGAAGTTAATGCTGTACTGTACCACTGCATCTGGTACAGTATAAGTGCAAGTTCTGATGTTTTTAATGGGACATTTTATTGTCTTTTTTTCCTCTTTCTGCTAGATTAGGGTTACCACTACTGTTTAAATATTAACACAATTTTGCAGCATCTCATCAAAAGTTATTAATCTGACATCAACAGTCAAAAATGTAATAAATTAAATGAATGACTAAAAATAACAACTCATTATTATTATTATTGTTGTTGTTGTTATTATTGTTGTTGTTATGTTACTAGAGTAAAAATATCTCACATGTGTGAAGTGTGAAACTCCTGATCAAATTCTACTCATCTGGGTCAGATGGATGATTCCCACACAGAGGGTTGTTCCAAGGATCTCAAACAGAGCTGTTTCTGATTTGTTGTCTAAAACAAAAACTGGTTTTGTTTTGTATGAAATTGACTGACAGAAAGCTCCTGAATTGCTCAGAACAAATCTAAAGCACGTTGATTGAATATTTGAGGACCCAATGCTGAAAAACCAGTGCTGTTTAACCACTGTCGGCCAGAAAGTGAGCCGACTGAAATAACTCCAACTCTGATGAGGAGCGGACAAATACTCAGACAGAATTATTGTTTGTTAATGGCTACAAAAAGAATGTGCAACTTGCTATGGGACATTTGACCAGGTTTTACTGTATGCATAAATTTGATTCCAGCAAATATACTTTTGACCCCTATGAAGACTAGCAAAATACCACAACAAAATTAAACTTGTGCACTTCACTCTTACCATTAAAATGGAATTAAAATTATATTTAAAACACCTAACAAAAAAAGAAACCCTTTAGACAACTCTTTTAACAATGTTAATGTTATATTTATCTTTACTTCTTATGCATACTATTCATGCCCAATAGAGAACAAAATTTTCAAATCTATATTACCGTCGCATTTTCTGCAAGTGATGACTACAGAGAGCTGAGTTTACCAGCAGGGGGCACCAGTACACTAGTTGATTAGGATATTATACCTCATTTCAGGTTTCAGAGGTAGTTCCTGAAAACAAATTCTAACAGTATCAGTAGATTCTCAGATTAAGTTAACATGTTTAAATTAGATGCATAACTGGAAAACAAACAAAACATTTCTCTGTGCAGTGTTTCTGCAGATGTTATAATTAAATACATCATTTCTATAATGATTCAAAAAGGTGTTATACTAGGAATTTCTTTGAGTCATCCCTGCCTCTCAGGTTTATATTTTCTCTGTTAGATTGTGTCAAAGCAGCTGTGGAGAAGAAAAGGTGAGTTAAAAAGCTTGTAAATATCTCTGAGCTCACTAAAGTGTTGCCTTGCTGACCAAGTGACTCAACATCAAAGACCATCCCTGTCTTCAAGACTAGTTTGGCCAGCTGTTTTAAGAGAGGGTATTTGAAGGTGTGTGTGTGTGTGTGTGTGTGTGTGTATGTGTGTGTGTGTGTGTGTGTGTGTGTGTGTTTCAGAGAGGGCTAGTTGGTTTATCTTTGGATTAATTAGTGGGCCACCAACCAGGAAAAATGACTCTTGGTTGAAGTTTTATGTGTGTGTGTTTGGGGGGTTGGAAACCAAATGAAGTCAATGTCACTTTATGCTTCTGTTTCCTGATTTGATCTTCCTGTTAAAAAAAAAAAAACATATTCTGGCTTACAACATTAATTCATGCTACATTTGGCAATTGGTTATTCAGGAATAGCATTTTTTTGTAGAACTGTTTTTGATTCCCAAGTTATTTTATTTTTTTTTTATATTTTCCACTTAAAAGCAAGCAACTTAATTCTTCAAACAAAAATTACATTTTATTTGGTGTTAAAAGTAACAGAGAAAAGCTATGGTTTGATTTTTCTATTTCTCTCACAGAAATAGGGCTTGGGATTTTGCAGGAAATAAAAGGAGGTGCCAGGTATAAAGGCTAGAAATAGATGGCGCCTTGTTTACCGCTCTGTTCCCAGCTGGGTACTGTTGCATCCCATGTGTCTTGGAAGTTGGAGTTCGGATCTGGGAATGATGTCACTCATGAGTTGAGCTTGATCTCATAGCAAGTCAGAAAAGCTGTAGAATATGATTATTACTCTTGTGCTAAAACCTAGTTGTAACATGAGTCAATAACAATACATTTCTCTCACAGAGGTAGAGGCTATCTACCATCACCTACCCCACTTCTCTAATGAGGTACAAATGATCAGAAGTGCTGAGAAATGATTCACTCCTGAAACTTTTAATAAATGTTTTTGTAAAGATGTTGGTTGTTGAATTTCGG